CCTTCCTTCCTTCCTTCCTTCCTTCCTTCCTTCCTTCCTTCCGGTTTTTCAGGACAGAGTTTCTCTGTGTAGTCCTGGCTGTCCTCGAACTCAAAGATCCGCCTGGCTCTGCCTCCGGAGTGCTGGGATTAAAGGTGTGCGCCACCACTGCCCGGCTTTAATTATTTTCTTGTGATAAAATCTGGAAAGAGAAATGCTGGGTAAAGAGCAAGCACATTTTGGGATTTTTCTACCCAAGCAACAGCTTTTAGACAGAGTGCGCTGAAGACTCTCTACGGTGAAAACATCTGCATTTCTAACAACATTTTAAAAATAAACAAATAAGGACCACTTACACCGAGATGGAAGAAAATATCTGCAAATCCTGTAACTGCTAAGAACTTGTAGAGAGAGAATCAAGTTAGGTAACAGTCAAGTGCGGGGAGGACGAGGCTGGGAGCCTTACACACTGAGGTGCTGATGTTAATTGGGTCAGTCAGTCTGGCAAACAGTCTCCCATGCATCTGATTTTGGAGTTCCAGCCTCCAGAACTCTGAGACAGGAAATTTCTGTGGTCCAAGCCACCTAGGCTATTCTACGGCATTTTGCTATGGAGGCCGTGAGCTAATATAGAGTGCAGATCATGTGTTATTATTTCAACTGGTTTCATGTGTTCTGGTATGTCCAACATTAGCAAACATCTAATTGTATGTTAAATAAGAACATGTTCTGTTGTTTGGGCATTTCACAAATGCCAGCTGGATTAAACGATAAAGAGCAATGTTCAGTGGGACTTGATAGGACTGCCCAGTCAAGACCGCTGTGCAGCCATGGTGTGGATGCCTAGAACCCATGCCAAGGGCTGGTGTAGTGGCACAGCCGTGATCCCGTGCTGGGGGAAAGGGAGTGTGTGTCACAGAAGCAGGCAATCCATGAAGCTTACTGGTTGGCCAGTCTAGCCCAACTGATGAACTCAAGGTTCTGTGAGAGACAGACTGAGGAAGAAGATACCAGCTGTCTACCTCTGGCCTGTGCACAACACACACACACACACACACACACACACACACACACACACACACACACACACACACGACATACAAGAACATTAAATTCTCTGTATCGTTGTTCACTTTTTTCCTATTTGTCTTGTTCAATTACTGAATGAGGGACACTATTATATTCAGTTATATTTGTGGGTTTTTGTTTTCTTCTCTATCAGTATTTTTTTGTTGTTTTTCGAGACAGGGTTTCTCTCTGTAGCTTTGGAGCCTTTCCTGAACTCACTTTATACAGCAGGCTAGCCTCAAACTCACAGAGATCTGCCTGCCCTTGCCTGCCCGGACTGCTGGGATTAAAGGTGTGCGCCACTGCCATGGGGCTCCTCCTTACCAGTTTGATTTCGAGGATCTTTTATCATATAAATAAGCAATTAGGAGACTCTGTGAGAAGACTGCTGCAAGTCCAGTTCCCTGGATTTAATTCCTGGACCCATGTGGTGGAATGGGAGAACCAATTCCTGCAAGTTGTGGATGGATGGATGGACGGACAGTCAGTCAGTCAGACAGACAGACAGACAGACAGACACACACACACACACACACACACACACACACACACACACACACACACACACACACACACAGATATACAAGGTACAAAAGGTATTCTGTAGTTGTAATTTTCTTTGGGCTGCCAACCAGCTCCCAAATAAAGACATGGAGACTTATTATTAATTTTGAAAGCTCAGCCTTATCTTATGCTTGTCCCACTGGTTCTTATAACTTAATTTAACCTGTTTCTATTCATCTACATTTTGACTTGGGGCTTTTTAATCTTTCATTATACCTCCTCCCTTGCTATTGGCCATTCAACTTTTTATTAGACCAATCAGGTGCCTTAGGCAGGCAAGGTAAAATAGCAACACATCTTTACATAATTAAACAAATAAAATACATCTTTACATAGTTAAACAAATATTCCACAACATAAGCAAATGCAACCTATCTTTACATAATGAAACAAATATTCTGCACCAATATTCCCTATGAAAGTTAACACTCAGAGCTATGTTTTCTGTCTGTGGAAATGCAGTTTGCTCTGGAAGCTGCTCTGCCTGTCAGGAACCACTCGACCCTTCCACTGACGAATACAAGCAACAGGCATCTTTTCTGAGCCTTTTAAACTTTTTTTGGGGGGCGGTATTTCAAGATAGGGTTTCACTGTGTAGTTCTGGCTGTCCTGGAACTCACTCTGTAGACCAGACTGGCCTCAAACTCAGAGGGATCCACCTCTATCTCCTGAGTGCTGGGACTAAAGGCGTGTACCACCCTGCCTGTCTTGCCTTTTAAACTTTTTTAGTTTTATATTTACAGCAATTATGGGTTTGTTTTGTGTGTGTGTGTGTGTGTGTGTGTGTGTGTGTGTGTGTGTGTGTGTGTGTATGTTCACGCATGTATAAGGATGCACGTGAATGTATTTTACGTGTGTGTGGGAGGCTAGAGGTTAATGTTAAATGTCTTCCTTTATTACTCTCCACCTCTATCTTTATTAGGCTCGACTGGCTGACTAGAGTTTCAGAAATCCAGCTGTCTCTGCCTCCTAGTTGTGTGGCACCCAGTTTTTATGTGGGCTCTGGGGATTTGAACTATTGAACTTAGTTTCTTGTGTTTGTGGAGAAGCCTCTTGAGAGACTTGAGCCATCTCCTGAACCATGTTTTGCTTTTTTTTTTCCCTTTTTCACTTTTTCAAGACAGGGTTTCTCTGTAGCCTTGGCTAGCTGGCTGTCCTGGAACTCATTTGTAGAAGCCCATGGAGGTCAAATGGTACCCTTTACAGAAACAGATACAGTCAGTCACACACACACACACACACACACACACACACACACACACACACACACACGGCTGTAACTGAACCCAGGTCCTCTTAACCACTGAGCCATATCTACA